CTTGAGGGGAATAGCGAAACGGCTCACGGTGTTGGAGGAGTTTGGACCCGATGGAGGGGTAGGTTTGGCTAGGTGGAGGAGAACAGGGAGCAGCATGGTCCCTGCCGTGTGCAGGGCCCTGGGTGTAGAATGAAGTCAGCACAAGTCACGGTTGAGAGCAGAGGGTTCTTACAGAGAGCACAGAGGGCTGCTTTGGGGGTTTTTGGTAGTTTGGGTTCCTGGGGCTGTCTGCCTGGGGGGTTCCTGGGGCAGGAACTCGACAGTATGTGATGAATTAAAGACTTTGCAGCAGCTAGACATTTGCCACAGTCTATTGCAAAAATGGCTGCAGCGCTTCACCCCTCCCTGTATCGTGACCTTGCAGCATGACAGCACCACCCACGGCCTCTCCCTTGGAATCTGAGCTGCCTCTGAGACTTGCTTTGGCCAATGGAACAAAGTAGAACTAATGCCGTGCCAGTTCTGGGATGGGGCCTCAAGGTGCTTTGCATGCTTTTGCTCCGTTTCTTGGAGCCCTGTCCAACTGCCGTGTCAACGAGCCCATGCTACCCTGCTGGAGGAGGAGAGGCCACCAGAGCAGAGAGGAGCTGCCCAGCGGAGGCCATCCTCCACCAGCCAGCCCCCAGCTGACCCAGCAGCCGACCGCAGACACAGAGTCAGTCCAGCCAGGATCAGAAAAATGCCCAGATTGTGAGAGGAATACATGGTTGTTGTTCTAAACCTCTGGGGTGGGCTGAATGATATACCATCCCCTCAAACAACAACAAAAAAGATACCCACTTCCTAATTCCTACAACCTGCGAGTATGTCACCCTGTACAGGAAAAGGAGCTTTGCAAATGTGATTAAGTTAAGGATCTCGAGATGGGGAGAGCATTCTGGATTTTCCAGGAGGGCCCAGTGCAATCTCTAGGGTCCTTGTAAGAAGAACACAGGAAGGTCAGTTGGAAGAGGAGATGTGACGACAGAGAAAGAGGTGAGAGTGATGCAGCCAATGATGCCAGAAGCCTCTAGAAACTGGAAGAGGCAAGGAATGAATTTTCCCCTGGACCTTCAAAATGAACCACTCCTGTAGACACTGATTTTAGCCCCAAGTGACTCATTTTGGACTTTTGACTTACAGAGGATAAATTTATAGTGTTTTAAGACATTAAATTTGTAGTGATTTGTTATAGCAGCAGTAGGAAATGTAGATAGCCACTAAGCTTTGGGGCGACTTGTTATGTAGCAAAAACTAACTGATACACATGTGTTCTTGTAGTCTTGTGGGAGCTTTGGGACAAGAAAGAGAGAAGAGGAATGGTGCAAATATAATGAGAAGGGTGTGTGTGTTTAGAGGCACCAAAAAGTAATGTTTTATAGGACATTTTGAGAAAAATGTTTTATAAGACACCTATATTTTTTGAAAAAAATAACATATATATATATATATATATATATATATATATATATATATATATGCATGACCATGTTGGAAACATTCATTTACTAGTGAATTTACCATTTAACAAGTATTATGTATTCTGTGCTAGCAGTGAGGAAGTAGATTCAAAGTTAAGTGAGACATTTTTAGTGTCTTCATGAAAATCACAACCATCCCAACCAGAACTTGTCCTTTAACACGCTGCCTGCCCTAATGGGGCCAGATGCAGGGCTTTTCCCATTAGGAGCTCAGCCCTGGCTTCTGTCTGGCCTGGCTCCTCTCTCTGTCCCTTGCCTCTTTTTCCACACTTTGTCTCCCTTCACACCAGCCTCTCTGCCCCTCTGTCATGGGTGCATTTTTCTTCTTCCTTTTTGCTGGACAGTCCAGGCTCAAGTTCCTCCCTAGCTGAGCCTCCATCTGTCCCCTTTGGCTTGGCACTTGCAGAAGCAACTCCTGGGAAGGTGACTCTTTTATGAGAACAGACCTCCGGGACCACCTTGGTCTCTTCTGAGGGTGTGCCCCACAGCAAAGTGCTGAGGGGACATGGAGGAAGGGGAGATGGCTTCTTCCTGGGGCCACAGAAGACTTCCCCAGAGGGGGACAGAGCAGGTCTTGTATGGCAAGTCACACTGGGCCGGGGAAGGGAGTCTGCAGGTGCAGCAGTACATGGTGGCGAAGGATCATTGCAAAGCATGAAAACATGACTCGAGCACAAATGTTTTGGTATGACACATTTACTTCGTTCAGTAATCGAGGGCACCAGAATGATAAAGCTGGTACGGAAGATCTGAGAAACTGACAAGTCAGTACACTCCTTTGATTGATGGCACAATATGATAAAATTAGATACGAGGCTGTTTAATGTCCTATAGGGCAATAAATAGAACCACTGTCTTTGAGGTGATTACTCTGCCAGCGGAACTCCTTGCAATGTGTCAACATTCATCAAGCGCGCATCTAACTTTATAGTGCCTGGTCCTTAATCCACGGTAAATGTAAGTCACACGGTTTACTTTCCTAGCACTGTGCGACATATCGCCCCAAAGCTCAGCAGCCTAAACCAGCAAGTGTTTGTCACCTCACACAGTTTCGGAGGGTCTCTGACGAGGGTGCAGTCAAGTTGTCAGCCCAGGCCGTGGTCCTCAGAAGGTGCCAGAGAACATGCTTCCAAGTTTCCTTGCATGGCTCCGGTTCCTCTCCATATGAGGGGCTTCTCATGCTCACAAGACATGGGGCTGGCTTTCCCCAGGGTGGGATGGACGGGGACAGGGAGGCCCCCAAGATGGAAGCCACTGGTCTTTTATAACCTAATCTCAGAAGCGACATCTGTCACCTCTGCTGTGTTCTGTTCCTGGGTGGCAGTCTCTAGTACACCCACTCAAGGGGAGGGGAATTAAGCTCCACTCTTTGGGGAAAGGATTAGCAAAGAGTGTGCAGGCATTTCTTAGCAACCACCACATTGCCTCCCCCAGAGGACCCGATCGCCCTCAGGCAGACCTGCCAGACATTGCTCTGTGTGACATGAGCTTCCAAAGCAGGGGCTGGGTTAGAATAGGTGTGGGCTGAGCCACACTCTGCTGTGTGTCGCAGAGACAGCAGAGGAGGGCTGGGCGGGCAGAGGCCGGAGGCATCTGGTGGAGCTGGGGAACCTGGAACCTCATGCTGCCTGCCCAAGACCTTCTTTAGTTTTTGCACGAGAGGCAAGGTGCCGGATCTGGGAGGGGAGATGAGAAGAGTGTCTGCGGTGACTGAACAAGCCTCAGCTGGGCCAGGCTATGAACAGGCTGATGTCTTGGGTTCAGGAATCTCAGAGTGTGCCCAGAACCCTCCTTCCTTTTAGGGGTTGGAAGGGCAGGAACTTTGCTGGGCTGGAGGGGTCACAGAAAGGTCCCAGTGATCAGAGAGCAGTTCTGCCTGGCAGCTGGCAACCAGCAACAGACACTTTTACCAAGACCAAACTGGCACGGAGTTGGAAACACACTGGGCGCTCGCATGCTGTGTGGCTGCAGGGCAGGAAGTTCCGTCTCCCAGATAAGGTGGAGACGTTTCCGGCAGGGGTCATACAAGTGCTTCCGGCTAGCACACTCTGGATCCGGGGCACAGCCATGGGGAGCACAGGTGGATAAGTGGAGTGATGGCACCTTGCCTCTGATCGATGGGACACCTACTCTCCGGCTCTGGGACACACTTTTCCAGAAAATACAATGCAGGTAAATGATGCCACAGCTAGCACATCCTTCAGTATTTGGAAGGACAAGAGATACATGCAGTCTGCGCAGACCACGCCTTGAGGCACCACTGGATGGGAGGTTGTGTCCATTGGATCTGGTAGTATGTGTCTACTCGATCACCCTGAAAGCAGACTCAAGACACAGCGTTGGGGACAGGTGGTGCAGCTGGGAGGGACTAGGGAGGTGAGATGGGAGGGGAGGAATGGTCGACATGGGAAAGGTCCCTATGAGCAGGGCTGGGCAGCACCAGAGCTGTCCCTGGGTAGGGACCAGGAGCCAGGTCCCTATTCACCATCACTCATTCACTGGCTCACACATTCATCCACCTGGGGCTAGCACTGTTAGGTGCACCTGCATTTTTGTTCTATTTTACTTTATACATTCAAGATATATTTATTGTTTTCTCACTGTCCTGACGTCTAAAACTGTTGCTGTCTCTGAGTTAGATTATAAATTTTCTAGTTTCTTTAGGCCACCGTATCATGCCATTGTCAATTTTCTGGACAATCACAGCTACCATGAAAAACATCTGCTCCTGTGGTGCCAACAGACTTGTTCATTGTTGTGCATGCACACCTGTGTGTGTGTGTGTGTGTGTGTGTGTGTGTGTGTGTGTGTGTGTGTGTGTGTTTGTGTATGAGTGATGTCTATACTGGTGGAAGCATGTGAGGGAGACAGGGGTGAGAGGAGAGAGTAGGGGGCAGCTTCCTCCAGAGACACCCAGAGAAGCTCAGTTACAGGCACCGTTTTCTCCGGCTGACGTCTGAGGATCTCACTTGGGTGCAGTTTCCACCTTGGCCCTTTCATCCAAATGCATGCCCCGGGTGTTTTGGGGACAGGGCAGGGGCAGGTAAGAAGTAGGCGGGGCTGATCCCCTGTGAGACGGAAGCTGGAGAGCAGAGAGGGCATGGCGGGGTTTGCAGGCTCGGGCTGGACAGCCAAGAGTCTGGTGTCCCTGTGTGGTCCCTTTGGGCTGCCACTCAGCAGAAACTTCTGGGCCACTGAGATTCCCGAAAAATCTAAAAATTCATCCCCAATATATGAATACATTAGTATGTGTTCACATATATATTCTATACTCATGACACTGACATAGTATATTATCTGGGTTATAGAATACACATCAAAAGAAAAAAGAAAAAAAAGATAAAATGAGCAATATTTATGATTTTTTTATTATACACATAATCTTTTTCCTTTACTAAAGCAATATTAGAAGTATTAATAATATGATTGAGCGTGCTCCATTGGTTTAATAAATTTTGGTTTATAATTTTGTTTTTGTTTTTTTTAGGGACAGAGTCTCACTATGTTGTCCAGGCTGGCCCTGAACTCCTGGGTTCAAGTGATCCTCCCACCTCAGCCTGCCGAGTAGCTGGGACTACAGGTGTGCACCACCACTCCTGGAGATATAAATATATATAATCTTTTGTAGAGATAAAATTTCTTGCACCTCTCCTGCCCTGCACGAGGGCATCCCTCCAAGGTGGAAGTATCTCACTCTTTACTGCAGTGAAACATTGCCCTGGGCTTGCTAGAGCCAGGCCCCAAACGTCCTGTCCTTCCCACTAGAGGCCAGTGGAGGAGACGTGGGGTTTGCAGGGCAAAGCCCTGTGGGGGCTGTGGGCCAACGCCAATGTGTAACGGGGTTTGGCCCTTCCTCACCCTTCTCCGGGTAGCTAACGGTCAGCAGCAAGCGTAGGCCGCTGATCCTGGGAGGCTACTCTCTGGCTTGAATAAACTCTCGGCTTGTCCAGCAGGCTCTAGGTGGTCAACACGCCCCATGGATTTGATGAACCCTTTCTCTCCCATGTGGATGCCGAATTCCCCAACTGTGGAAAACCTGTAAGGGTAAGTTCATGTCTACTCGGCCAGCGGGGACTTCCTGTTTTTAAGTTCTGGGAGTCTTTTTAAAAACATAAACAAATGGAAGTTGTTTTGGACTTTGAGTAAATATTCCCTAAGAGTACTTTGCGTGAAACATGAATAAGCAGCATATGGGCTACGCTTCCTTCAAAATACACACGTTTCAGAGGAAAGGGGCTTAGAAAAACACATCCTGAACTTTTGCCGAGTGGAAAAAATATCTGGAAAGATGACTGGACTTCATTTTTATATTTCGTTTTTTTTAGTGGTTAATTATATCATCTTGATGCAATTTCTGAGGCTGGCATTGGGGGGATGCCCGTGTGAAAAACCATCCTCTGCCTCTGTCCGCATTCTCACGTGGGATTTGCGTTTGCTGCTGGCAGAACCCAGTGTCAGTCCGAGAACCCAGGCCCGTGAGAGCTGGGGTCACCAGGAGGGAGCCACCTTCTGAGGTTCAAGAGGGAGAAAGGATGCCAGGAAAGGACACTCCTGCAGGAAGTCTGGCCTCCGCACCCAGCCTCCGAGTCACCACCACGGTTTCTGCTGCACGTTGGCCCCTGAGAGAAAAAAGGAAAGTATTTAACACACTAACTGCCATGAGAGTTGTATTTAACTCACTCTAGTTTTGCCCCCGGGGCCAAGTGAAGCACATATAAAATCTTACTTGTTGATATTCTTATTGTTACAATTGATATTGACAATATTTAATTCTAAAAATGTGGCTTAAATGAATAGAAGTCAATAAAATTCGTTTTTCTATATATGTTTACCTTTAAATTCCACTCGGAGTTTTTATTGTATTTTAGTAATAAAACACTGTGGCTTCAAGGAAAAGTTTCTGTTTTTTTTTTTTTTTTTTTGTGTGTGTGTGTGTGTGGCCGTCAATGTGTTAAAAATATACGACAACTTGAAAGTTTGCACCAGGTCTGCTGGCTTCCTGTTTCTGCAGGCGAAGGAAACGGACCTGAAGTAGCTAGAATGGAAAAGGGGACTTAGTAGAAAGATACTGGGTTCTCCAGGAATTCACGCCGGAGTTGGGTGGGCAGGTTTAGGGGCCTCTCTTCCAGGAGCCGGTCATTGGCAGGACTGGCCCCCGACTCCCAAGACTGAGCTCCCATCTCGTGTCTCCAGAGGCAGGCCTTTGTGTCCCAGGGCCCGGTGGCCCATCCCCGGCCCTGGGAAGTGACTTGCCTTCTGTGTCAACCTGGAACACTTAGGCCTGTTCACCCCTATTCCTTGCCACACTCTGGGCTGTTTTATTTACATACTTCTGAAGCAGCAGCCTGCTCCCTTCCTGCCTGCCCGCCTTCATTCTTTCTTTGGAGAAATACGTATTTATTTGGAATAGCAACAGCTAATACAACAACAGCTGATAATTTACCATATGCCCGGCACTGATGTAAGGACTTTCCGCGTATTATTTAATTTGCATGAAGTACAGTCATCACATTATCTGTTATTATCACCATCTTACAAGGAAACCAGAGCACAAAGGATTCTGCCAAAAAGTGAGGACTCTGCTCCCACTTCCCACGTGCGTCCTACGCGTGAGTCCATCTTGCACCCCGCGTGCCCCGCGCGGAGCCTTGTGCAGGGAGGGGCTGCAGCCCACTGTCGCATTGCACTGACTTGCTCACTTGCTTCTGGGAGTCCCTGGCCCGGGAGGGGAGAAGATAGGGTTTGGGGGTACACCGAAGAAAAGTTGTTTGTGATGTCACAGTAGCCACACAATCAGGATGAATGACCTTCCCCATCAAGCCCCAAGCCACCCTCAACCGCCACACCCTTTTTTGGGGCAAGCTCAGCCTGGGCCTAGAATGTAATCTCCCATCTCCTGGGGACAGCCATTGCCTCATCCAGGGCAAGGGACCTGCTGGTTGAAGATCATGCAATCAGGAAGTTAGTCTCAGCGGGCGGGCGTGAGGCTCATTAGCCCATCGGGGTGCCATTGGGCAAGCCACTCATTTCCCCATCCTGTGGAGCCCCGAGACCAGAACACAGTGAACAGGCTGCAGGGTGCAGGGCCGGGGCGCAGGGTCTTTGCTTCGTAATGGAATGAGTTCTGATATCCACTTCGGGCTCCAAATGTACCAAAGGCTTGTTCCGAGGGCAGGGGACAGTTAAGGGCTGCTACCCTAATACCTAAACAGCACTTCTGTTTTTTTGCTTTAATTCAAAATGAATTCCCTACCCCATTTTTGGCGGGGTAGGGCAGTGCCAGGTGGAGACGAGGAAGGGAGACAGCCTCTCGTTCTTGTCCTGTTTCCCTCCTTCTCGGCTGTCCCTTGCCCTCCTGCCCTCCTTGTATCCCTCCTTGTCCTAAAAAAGGGATTTTGAGGTGGCTTAAGTAAGTCCACAAGACATATTCTTTTGTTTGGAAGGCGTCTCGGATGTAGGTACAACAACGTGATTTATTTTGTGAGCGAGCAGGATAGTGGGGGGAGTGTGTTTTGGAGGCCCAGGCAGAGCTGTCCTTGGTCTTTCTAGACTGACGTGGGCCCTTTAGAAGGCTCAGCCTCCCAGATCTCCTCCCAGGGCCTCCCCCAGGGTGCTGCGGGCTGTGAGGGGCCGCATGAGTCTGCTCGCTCTGCTGTAACAAAGTACGCTCCACCCTCTGTATCCGCGGGTTCCACATCCGGGGATTCAACCAACTGTGGATTGAACATATATTTTTTAAAAGGTAGGTTGTGTCTGTACTGAGCATGTACAGACTTTTTTCGAATCTTTATTCCCTAAACAGTACAGTATAACAGCTATTTACACAGCATTTACATTGTATTAGGTATTGTAAATAATCTAGAGATGATTTAAAATATATGGGAGGATGTGCATATATATGTTACATGCAGATGTGGTCCTACACCATTTTATATAAGGGATTTGAGCATCCATGAATTTTGATATCCATGGAGGTTCCTGGAACCAGGCCCTTGTGGATGCTGAGGAATGACTGTCCCACAGACCAGGTGGCTTAAACAGAAATTTATTTTTCACAGTTCTGGAGGCTGTACTCCAGGGTCAAGTGTCTCCTGAGACCTCTCTCCCCGGCTTCAGATGGCTGTCTTCTCCCTCCGTCTCACACGCGTGTGTCCTATTCTTCTTATAGGGACACTGGTCCTGTCGGATTGGGGCCCCACCCTTATGACCTCATTTCACCTTAGCTACCTCTTTCAACCCCCAAACATTGGGGGTTGGGGCTTCAACATACGAATTGGGGGGATGATTCAGGCCATAACTGGGGCTCACTTGGCCTTGTTGCACTGGCCTCAGGCTGACGCTTGGTGTCTGCTGGCTGCTGTCCTCTGGGTCCTCTTGTCTGGCATTGGCTGCTGCAGCCTGGGCTGGGGGATGTGTGCTTTGCTCTTCCCAGGAGCCCCGTAGGAGAGCGAAGAAAATGCCCTCTGCTCTTGCTGTTCCCCCAACCCGGCCAGGGCCGGGCAACTCCTCTCCCACCTCCCCACCTCAGCCGGGCAGGAGGGGCGACATCTTCACTCTCGCTGACCCCGGGGGAGACTTCTGAGTGACTCATTCTTCTTTTTCCAAGTGGTGTCCAAGCTTCCCTTTCCCTGGGGCTATAAGGGAGGATGGAAAGAGAGGTGCCCAGGAGCGAGTGAAAACACGATTGCAACCTAACCGCAGAGGCGTTGCTGGGGTTTGAATGTGGCTTGTCCCCACGAAAGCCGGCCTTGAGGCCTGGGCCCCCGTGTGGCAGTGTCGGGAGGTGGGGCCTTTAAGAGGTGACTAGGTGAGTGATGGGAAGTAAGGCCTTTCTCATGGGGGTGAGTTCTGCTATCCAGACTGGATCAATGACGCCTAGAGCTGGTGGTTACCAAGCAAGGCTGCCTCGCAAGTGGCTCTCTGTTGCTCACTCCTGCTCCCTTTCCCGCTCCTCTGCCCCGGCAGGGCGCAGCTTGAGGACAGCCCGACGGGCGGTCGCTTTGACGACGGAAGGTGGCTGAAGCCTGGGCCTCGAGTCAGCATGAATCGCCTGCTCTGCCTCATTGCAACTCTGAGACCCCCACGCTGTGAAGTGTGGCCAGCCTTCTGGACAGCCACACGGGGAACTGAGGGGCCCAAGCCAACGGCCCGCACCAGCCGCTGCCATGTGAGTGGGTCGCCTGGGACCCTCCACCCCGGTCAGGGCGTGACCCAGCGGAGACAGCGGCTGAACCCCCCAGATGGCCACCCCACAGAATGGTGAGAAATAGTTACTTATTACTACGTTGGGGGTGGTTTATTTCACAGAAATAGGCAATTGAAACAACTAAACTTATAAAGGGGATTGGTTACTGAAGGAAATTTAAGCAGTTAGTCTGAAATTGCCTAAGCCCTAAGCAAAGAGGAAATGAAAGTCTATACGTATCTACACACATTTTACAAAAACATACAAATAGAATAATAACTTGTAAGGCAAATTAAAAGCTTAAGGGGGAAAATGAGGAGTCTCTGAAGCATGCTTTTTTAAAAATTACATATAGTTATACCATGTTGAGTAAGCAATGACGTATTTCTATTCAATTTCTATTCAATGTTTAAAATCAGAAATAAGTTAAATTTTATCCAAGGCCTTGTTACCAACTATGAAAATTATTGTACTTCCTTTTCTTCTTTGATTTAGCAGGTGCTGCTGTGGGAGCCCCCAATTCCCGAGCCTTTTGGGGGTGCCCCATCCACCAGCTGCTGTGAGTGTGGGCTGCTGATGGCTCACGATCACCCCCTCCTGAGAGCTGCCCTCCCCTCACAGGGGCCCTGTGGCCCAGACACCCCTTTGGAGGGGAGACAGCCCGAGTCACGAGTCACGATGGCTGTAAAGGTCACAGCAAACCAGCCCCCTGGCTTCAGGTGGAACAGACAGTGGGGGCAGCCCACACTCCTGGCTCCCTGTGGGGTGGGCCAAGGGGACTGACCCCAGGGGAGCCTCCTGGTCACTGCCTTCTCCCCTGCACTCCTGCTTTCCTGGTGTCTTCTTAAGGCTTCACCTGGCTGGGGATCCCATCTCAGGCTCTGCCTCCAGCCACCCCGATTGAGTTAGAGGTTTGGAGAGTTTCGCTTGCATCTTGAGGAAAGACTCTTCTAGGTGGGCTATTGTTTCTCTAATGTATTCCTGGGTGGTATTTGCTACTATCTCACTTATGGTATTTGCATCAATAATCATAACGAAGATGAGTTTATTATTTTTTTGTATGTATATTTTCTCCAGATAGGGTATTTTATGTGATGAATAAAAATAAATATGAAGCTTTGTCTTTTTATTGAGTGAGAACATTTAAAATGGTATTTGAATTACTTGTTACTTGAATTTGAAAGTTTTATCAGATTTCATAGAAATTATCTGGACATTGGTGCGGAGGGTTCAGACCCTTAATAACATTCTTAATTGTTCCATGTAACTTGTCTGTTTAGGTACTAATTCTTCTGAGGTCAAGAGTATTTTTTCTAGCTAAGAAAAAATACAAATATTGTATATATTTCTAGAGTAATGCACATTTTAACATTTGTATGAAATTAAACAAAATATTCTCTCAAAATTGTTTTATTATTTTGCTCTGTTCCTACTGTTAGGTCTTCATTCTCATTTTTTAATTTTGGATTTTGTGATTTCTCTTTTATTCCCAATATGAAAATAGTTTTATAGTGTGTAAAAAATATAAGAAATATAAAAAAAGTCAAATTTACCCCAAACCACATCATTCTGAAATCATTAATAGTGTCCTTCTAGTCCTTCATAATCTTTTTATTCATATATGTGTATATATTAATATATTTGCTAATGTTAAACCATCCTTGAATTCCTGAAATATAATAATTTCAACATGGTCATTCACATTTTTATGTGTATTAACTAAGTTCGGTTTGTCAACATTTTGCTTAGAATTTTTTGTTTTGCATTTCTGTTCATAGTGATTGGTCTGAGACTTGCTGTTGGCCTTGTGTAGCTTTGATTTCAAAGTTCTTTAAGATGAGGGATATTTCCTCCTTTTCTACTATGTAGAGCTGTGCTGGCCGGTGTAGTAAGCACTCACCATATGTGGCTGTCAAGCACTTGAAGTGCAGCTAGTGAGTATGGAGACATGTTGGAAGTGTGTGGTACACACTGGATTTTGAAGACACTGTAAAGCATAAGAATATTTATAAAATATTTCAATAATTTACAAGTTGAAATGATAATATCTTAGATATATTGAGTTAAATAAAATTTCTGGTTGGTAATTTTTAAAAAAAATACATAATCAATTGAAAACAACTTTTCAGTTAAAGTTGGACATTTAAGAAAACTCCACTAGAGCCAGAAAGGAAGGGAAATAGGAAAGAGGAAAAGGTCTGAGGTGCATGGTACGGGAAGGGCTGTGGGTGCTAAGCCCGGCAGGGACCTCAGTCTGCTGGGAGATCCTGGAGCCCTTTTCTGTTCACACTGTAACTGGCTCACGTTACTGCATGTGGTTGTACTTTGGGTCTGATCACGTTTCTTAGGAGCTGGGTGCTGGACGGTGTCTCCATCCTAGCAGAAAGCCCTTACCACAGACCTATTCTTGACTCTAGAAGCAGGTTATGGAGGGAAACAGGAGGCATCAGTGCAGTGCAGAGCAGCAATTCGGCTTTCCAGAGACATTTGCTCCCCTGCAGTGTCTGGGCTGCTTTGGTTCTGCAGGGCTCTGTGGTGAGCAAGTCGTCAGGCAGGCTGGTGATTTCATGACCCTGTCAAACCAATTAGTCATCCCACACTCAGAAGAAGAACAAGCACAAGGGCAGGGAAAGCAAACAAAAGACAGTCCCTGCAGCTTCTAGAATAAACAGATCATTTTATTAGATGTTTTATGGGTAGCCATTAATTTCTTGCTGGATAATCAAACAGTGAAGGGTTTTCTATTTATTCTGACAGCATGAATTTCAAACTGATATCATCCTTTCAGTACAAATGACGTCATTCCGGTCTTCATGGAATGCCCTAGGCCAATAAATAAATAAATACACAAAAAGGAAAGATGAGATGAAAACCCGGTTCCCAGGGTGGGTTTGGCTTTGATGTCTTTGCACTGGTGGTGAGATGTCAACGGTGAGGATAGTTACCTCCAGCGAGCTTGACAACCTTTGCAGCAGACCTCATTATTCTTCATCCTAGAATGCATGTGGAAAGCACCAGGAATCAGTGTCTGGCTCTCACAGGCCGCATGGCGTGGAAGTTGAGAGTCTTAAGCAACATTAGGCAAGTAGCCGGGGGAGGAGAGAGCTGAGTCTGGGCCACGAGCTCAGAGCTCAGTCTCAAGCGGCAGATGTGTCACTGGTCAGTTTAGCAAGTTTATCTATGATAGACATAAAGTGGACATCATTTGTGGAACTATGTCGAGAAGCTCTGAAGCCCTTTGTCCAAAACTCCCTGCATAGGAGAATGAGAAAGTTCCTGAAATGCCCACCCTTGGACGTGCGTTTGAACCAAAATTCTGAAGATCCCCGAGAAACTCAGATGTTGTCTGGAAAGGACAAGCCACCCGCCAGTGACCACCTGCTGACACCTGAGCTTGAATCCCTTTATAACTGTCAGCACAGGAGTGGGTCTCAGGATAGCTCACGTGCTTCGAGTGTGGGCTGGGGTCAGGGAGAGTTGGTGGGGGATGCTCAGTCCTGGAGGCCTGATGTGGGGTGCAGCAGGTGCCTGCTATGCCTGCCCATGCCCTTGTCCCAGATCTTGTTCTCCCAGACAGTGAGGGTTCCTGTCCAAGCCCAGCCTCCAGGAGGCCTGAGTCTGAATGGGTGCTGGGACAGAGGCAGATAATGCAGAGGAAGGAGAAGAGCTAGGGTCACATGCTCAGGAAAGGCCTTCTAAGGAGGAGGCTCTTAGAAAGGTGGAAAGGAGCACGTGATGTGAAAATATTGAGGGGCCTTTTCTGATAGCCAGTGCAAAGCATGGGGCCAGGATGACCCCAGTGGGCTTATAGGCAGGAAGGGGAGCGTGGTGGAGAAGGGGCAGGGGAGGGCCTTGGAGGCCAGGACTAGAGTCTGGTTTTACCATTAATCCAACAGGAAGGATGAACTGGAGGGTTTAAAATGGAGGAATGACATGATCTGATTTGTGTTCATAAAAGATCACTCAGGGTAACGGGGAGAAAGAGGCGTAGACTGTAAGAGGGAGAAGATGGGAAGCAGAAAGACTGACCACTGGGAAGTGAATGGAATGTCCTGGGGATGGGGAGAGGGCAGGGGTGGTCTAGGTGAGGCAGTGGGGAGGGTTCCCTTACACTGAACCAGACCTGTCCTGCCCAGCTTGGCATCATCTCTGGCACCGAGAACCCCTGCTCCTTCACAGCCCCAGGCCCTGGCCCCACATTCCCCCTCTCGCCCAGCTCAGTACTTCGTAAATACTCATAATTGTTTCCACTGATCCAGTAATTGCACTTTACACTCACGGCATTGTTTAAACTCCACCAAGAAGCTGTCTCAGTCAGCATGGCTGCTATAACAAATTACAGTAGACTGGGTGGCTTAAACAACACACGGTTGTTTCTCCCAGTTCTGGAGGCTGGAAGTCCAAGATCAAGGTGCCAGCAGATTGGGTGTCTGGTGGCGACCCACTTCCTGGCTTCAGATAGACTTTTTCTTGCTGTGTCCTGACACTATGGAAAGACAGGAGAGCTTTCTGCTGTCTTTTATAATTGCACTAATATTATTCATGAGAGCTCCACCCTCATGACCTAATTATTAATAATTTCCCAAAGCTGCACCTCCTAATACCATCACCTTGGGGGTTAGGTGATAATACCATCACTTTGCCAGGCAGGGGTCAAACCCCTATGGCTTTGGGCAAAGGTCACCTGGCCTGTTGAAAGGCAATGGACTCCCCTTTTGAAACCTCGAAGGCAGCCCTGATGCTTTCTGAGTCTCCTTCAGGGTCATTTTCCCCTTGTCTTAAAGAATAGAGCACTTTTGAAGCCAAATAGTTCTATGGTCCTGTCCTAAAAAGTCCAGGAAGTCAGATAATCTTCCTTCATTTCTTTCCATCTCCTTGCTCAATTTGGCAGTTTTCCTGCTGGGGTAGCTGATTAAGTCTGTGGTTCATACCCATGCTAACGTCTTTCCAAAGGGTCCTTTGGCCATTCCCTTGTGTTCTCTTCCAAATACACTTTCTTAATTGTTGCAATATGGATACACTGAGAATTTTTCAAATCTTTAAGTTCTAGTTTCTTTTTTGCGTAACAATTCCATCTTCAAGTCATTTCTTCCTTCTTGCCCTATAAGCAGTCAGGAGGAGCCAAGCCACTCCTTCGACACTTTGCTTAGAAATGTCCTCAGCTAAATATCTAGTTTCATCACTTGCAAGTTCTCTCTTCCACAAAACACTAGAACATGAACACAATTTTTCCAAGTACTTTGCCACTTTATAATACTTTTCCTCCGGTTTCCAGAAACGTGTTTCTCATTTCTGTCTGGGGTCTCATCAGAATGTCCTTTATCACCCATATTTCTACCAACTTTCTGTTCAAGATTACTTAGGTATCCTCTAAGAAGACTGTGGCTTTCTGTGCAGCTCTTCTTTTCTCTTTCTGAACTCTCACCAGAATTGCTTTTAAACTCCCTTCACATCCTTAAATCTTGGCTGCTTCTAGCAGGTGCCTCAACACTCTTCCAGCCTCTACTCATTGCCAAGTTCCAAAGCTAGTTCTGTACTTTAAGGTACTTTTTATAGGACCATTTCTACTTCTTGGTACTATTTCCTGTCTTATTCAGTTTAGGCTGCTGTAACAAATTGCCATAGACTAGGTGGCTTAAATGACAAATATTTATTTCTCATAGTTCATGGCTCATAGTTCTCTGCTTGTTGGTTTGTAGATAGCTGTCTTCTTACTGAACCCTCACATTGTGGAAAAAGAGAGCCAGAGCTCTCTGGGCTGGATTTTATTTTTTTAATTATTGTTGTTATTATTTTGAGATAGGGTCTCGCTCTGTTGCCTGGGCTAGAGTATAGTGGTGTCATCATAGCTCACTGAAACCTTGAACTCCTGGGCTTAGGCGACCCTCCTGGTTCAACCTCTTGAGTGGCTAGGACTATAGGTGTGCACCATCATGTCTGGCTAATTTTTTAAATGTTTTATAGAGATGGGTCTTCCTATGTTGCCCAGGCTGGTCTTGAACTCCTGGCCCCAAGTGATCCTCCTACCTCACCTTCCAAAGTGCCGGGATTACAGGAGTGAACCATCATGCCTTGTTGGGTCTCTTCTATAAGGGCACTAATCCGATCCATGAGG